GCAGTTTACAGTATATTCTGTTCAATATTATTATTCATTGAAATAGTTAAAAAAAAATTTTCAACACTGTTACACACACAGTACTCATCACTGGATATTTAACAAAGCTATAGAAAGACAGAGAAGAAAAAAATGTATAATTAACCAAAAACAAGTTTGAGACAGCTCTTGTCACTTTGATTTTTTAAGGACCATATTATATTTTCCACAAAATTATGTTGCCATAGTTTGCATAATTTTATGTATAATTTTATAAGTTTTAATTAATATTGGTCACAATTATTTCTTGATCAAACTTTTTAGAAAAAAATAATACATGTTTTATTTTCGTAAAAGATGACTGAGTTGATGCTGAAAATAGAATTAAAAAAACAAAAATTAAATAATAATCACTATTATTGACAAGTGAGCCAATAAATGACACTTTACTATTATACTAATATTACGTGACAGAACTATGAAATAACATTTCACTATACTGTGTCAATTGTTCAACTTACTACAGAATATAACAAGTCAGAAGCTGAGATGCAGGGGACAGACTGCCTAGTGGTGTTTTCAGGGGAATGAACTCGTTTTATGACGTAGATGATCAAAACACAACTGCCATTGACATCATCACCTTTCCCGTTGCTAGGATATCCTGTTTCCGGTGATCCACAAGATTTACAGTCCCAGAAATAAACATTAAGTTTTAGGACAAAAAACAAGTTACCATAACAACAGCATCCCAAGAATGTTTAAGTACCTACATCTCCAAAAATATACCTGTACATACTACTACTGCGGCAATGCTGTTAATGGGAGTTTCTCAAATTTAGTAATTCTGTCTTAAGCACAGATTTACACATGCTTGAACTAGAAGGAGCCTGTAAACAGACATTACATGCGTTAAATTGTCACATAGATATCACCCATAATCGAACATAACACAGATTTAATCACTCTAAAACGAGAGAACTCAATATAAGATTAAGTATATCATTATCAGAACACTAATTCATCCTTTCATTTACCTAAGGCTAAGAGTGGGTTTATTTAAAGATCTAATGTGAGCAATGATTTTTCATTGAAGCAAACACATTTTTTTTGTCATAAAATGTACCCCCAATATTAATTACCACATCTTATTGCACGACAATCATTTCGTTACAGTTGTGGTATATTCAAAATCAATCCCATGAGATGTAAACATGTGCAACATATTATGCTTATCCATAAATATTAACACATGTGCTGCATAGTGTGAATGTTGATTGTTGAAAAGCACCAACATTGCAACAGTATCACTATTCAAATCTAAGTGCTGTCTAAAGTGAAATTCACTAAAACAGAAACACAGACAAGCACACAGCATTGTATTGGCATGAAATATGATATTAAAATACTCTCTCACCTCATACAAGTCCTATAAAATCCATTTTTGTCAGCCAAGTCTAAATACGTATCCTATCACCACTGCTGTACATGTGCTTGGCAATGCTATAAAGAAAAGGAAATCACAGATATGAGTATAGATTTCGTGATAATTAACAACAAGCTAGGGGGCATCAATATTTTATAGTCAGAATATCAACAATAAACTAATAATCATGTAGTGCTCAGTACATGTAATCTGAGTCCTAATGACATCCTTTAAGACAGTGGGAGATATTCACAATTTATTAGTTTCTGGGCTTCTGATATAGTGTAAAACAATTTTAGGCACAATAGGCCAGAAAAAGTTGGGAATTTGAAAATGAGGCAAGATTTTTTTTTAATGTATAAATATTAATTTTACACGGTGGCGACTTTAAAGAAATTGCAGATGCAACTAACTGACATTTTTACTAAAAACAAAGTGTTCAAGACTCATGTTAGGTGTTCAAACATGTAGCAACAGCAGTGTTGAATGTTAGACCCGGGTTTATTTTAACTCACTGCTGGAAAACATGAGTGAACAGATGAACCTGATCTGACCCCGGTTTCGAGCCAGGTTAGTTAAGCTCAGAGGCAGAAAGCTGGTTGACCCAGAGTTCCGTGTGAATAGATGAACCCGGTTTCGAGCCAGGTTAGTTAAGCTCAAAGTCAGAAAGCTGGTTGACCCAGAGTTCCGTGTGAATAGATGAACCCGGTTTCGAGCCAGGTTAGTTAAGCTCAAAGTCAGAAAGCTGGTTGACCCAGAGTTCCGTGTGAATAGATAAACCCGGTTTCGAGCCAGGTTAGTTAAGCTCAGAGGCAGAAAGCTGGTTGACCCAGAGTTCCGTGTGAATAGATAAACCCGGTTTCGAGCCAGGTTAGTTAAGCTCAGAGTCAGAAAACTGGTTGACCCAGAGTTCCGTGTGAATAGATGAACCCGGTTTCGAGCCAGGTTAGTTAAGCTCAGAGTCAGAAAACTGGTTGACCCAGAGTTCCATGCGGAAACCTGAGATGAGTAACATACAAACAAAATCTGAAGGTTAAAACAAAGTTGCGAGAATCCAATGGTAGGTGGATAAAATAGGAATCTAATATTTAGTTGCAAGGACATGGGAAGTACATGTGGGAAAAATAGTGCTACATCCCAGTCATAATATAAAGAAAACTCAAATCTAAACTTTCGCCCCTTGGTGTTATTTAAGAACTACATTGAAAACCGGTAACAGCTAAGGTTTTCAATCTGGAACCATATCAAATGACATGAAACTACATGTTACAAGAAATATTAGACATCAACAGAAACTAGGGTGTAGACTGTAATTATGACATCGTGTAAAAAACACATGGGTCATGACACTTCTTTGACAACAATTTTATTAAAAATATTGTTATTTTAGGTTATTTATAGGTTAGTACATTCTTTTGTTTCAAAGTGTTATACAGTAAATGGCAGAAAGTTGCACCTTAGTTTATAAAAATATTTATAACAATTTTTAAAAACCAATCACCAATTCAAATATTTAATATCGATTGGCTCGAGACCTCTACATTGTCTACATTCTTAATGCACACACAAGCCTTCAAATGCGACCGTCCACTTACTCAAAATGAAGGACTAATTGGATGAAGTTAAACTAACTCATTAACACTAATTAGAGCTTCTGATGATGTCACCATATCGTTTCTGGATTGGTCAATTTGAATTTCGAACAGTCATTTTGATTTAGGCAAATGTATTAGTTATAAAATTGATGATGATAATCCCCAGCTTTATGCCATTCATTGTTGACTTAGACATATATAATTTATTAACTTTTAGACTTTTTCACCCAGTACAAAATATTTTGGTGGCTCTTTTTGGAACTATTTTCATCGGAACTCATGTCAAAGAATTACTTAATAAAAAATAAATCATATTTGTTTAATTCGAGATACTAGTACCTAAATCATAACACCAGTGCATTGTCTTTTCTAATTCGTTTCTACCTCCATGCTCAGATTTATGACAGTTTCTTTTATTCTCCCAGCTCAACAGCATCATGCCATGTTACATGTAAGAAACAACACAAGCACAACACCAGAATCATTTCAGCCATGCTTTTTCATACTAATTACTTGAGGACATTGTTCTGTCCAACTCTGATTGAACTGAATTGAACTCTGGGAGATCTTGGCTCTCGTTCAGCCCCGACCGCTGCGTTTGGGATAATCTCCTGTTAATCGGTGGGAGGAGCAGTAGTTTGGCTCCCATAGAATAGTTGCTGTGTGAACATAGCAAATGAGACCAGAGCTACTAGTTGTGTTCACGTTACACGAAGTACGGGCTAAGATTTAAGCTGATTTAGGCTTATCTAGCATATTTGCATTTTGCCTAGACCCAATTGCGTCCACTCACAGGGAGGGCCAGTCGTTAGCACGGGCTAAGGGGTGCCATTAGTCGGTGACCTTTGGTAAGCCGCTATTTACGAACGAAAAATGGATG